GACCTTTGACTTGTTTCTTTATAATACATGTCATAGAGCTAAGCTTAGCATCTAACCTAACACTGGTCAGGGCTTAGCGCCGCTGAGCCAGGTGTTTTGATGGCGGCGGAACCGCCATGATATCAACTTGAGGATCATTGAGGATCAGAGGAGAAACGTTTGGTCAAAAACTAGATCTGACTTTGACGAAGCGGCATCAGAAAGACATGAGGAAACATCAGAAGAGGCGTACCCCAAAGGAGTCCAGCTCCGTGCCAGGCGGGCCGACGACCTCAGGAGGACGGCACTCTTGGCTCCAGTGGACAGTCCTTCAGACCCGGCCCCTGAGGACGACGAGGAGTTTAGCAGGTTTTTTAAGATCTCCAGGTTTAGGTTCTCCCGCTTGCTGCCGCTACAGCTGGATGCACATGTGTCCGACTTTGCGTTGTTGTTGGAGGCTTTGAAAGGCGTCCCCGCTGTGGTTCCTCCACCGCCAGAACCAGGGCTCTTCTTGGACCGGATGGAGGGGTCAGCGGTGGGCTTGGCCAGGACCGGCGGTTTGACCGGTTCCTGCTTTGCGTTGATGACCTCCTGGCTCTTCACATACTTGGCTTTGTCAGCTTCTAGTCTCTCAACGGCGCTCAGGCGGTTTGGGTTTGGTTCCGCCTGACAACACAGTAAATATGAATCACTATTATTATCAATCACATCATGTTCAGCTTATTTCATCAGAACTTTAAAAACCACATCTCTTCGAGTCTTTCATCCATGTCTACAAACTCGGTTTCTAGTGAACTATCGACACCATTTACTGATCGTTTCATCAGAGGCTGCATCGGACGGACTGCCACCATGGAGGCAACTTCACTGATGGTTTTATGATCTATTTCCCTCATGTCTGTAGATAAACATTAGATAAATATTCATGCATAATGCATAAATAAACACAGCATTTCCTCTACAGATAGAAACACATCAGACACATTCTTTAGGAAAATTCAAGCAGCTGCTTCAAAGTCGCTGCGTAAAAACAAGGTTTATGAGCACAGAACTTTAACCAGTAGTTTAACCAGTGATGTCTGGGTATGTTATAAGATTACCAGCATCATATCCCATCTCCTATCCCCTGGTGGAGTTAGGAAGCTAGGAAGTTAGGAAGAAATAAGGCTGAAATGTATTTGACGTCCTCAGACAGAGA